AGAAAGGCAGATATATTATGGAGTATGTGAAGCATTAGATTATGTACCCTCAGAATTATTCTTTCCCAAACACATCTTTGCTTTTGGTCCCATGCCTGGATTCCTGCTATTGTGCCGACCTGGAAAGCTGCCCAGCTCACTTTTCCCATGTTCAATTCTATAGCCCCTCCCATTTTTCCTGTTACAATCCTGCTCATTCTTCAAGCTCCATGTCAAATGTTACATCATCCATGACATGGTTTCTGACTTTCCCTAAAGGGATAGAACTTGTCTCTCTAGAACTTCGTTTATAGTTCTCCTTGGGCCTTGGCCTTCATTTTAACACCATGCTGTCTTAGGTCGTTGGTATAACTGTGTACTGGGGTGTACATTATCCAATAGGTAGCACAGAGCCTTCCCCAGCTCTATTCTAGGTAGTTCAGTGTAGTAAAATGCACTTAATAAATATCTGCAAATTGCACTGATTATTTAAAGAAAGGAAAGATCTATGTGAAATAAAGGGAAAAAACAATGAGAAGTCTATCTACCCTTTTAAGGCAAGTGTTAATGCACCAAGTGCAATTTCCTGAATTTCCTAAATGTAAATGTATTTCAAAAACATGATCATTGCTAAAGTTGCAAACTCCCTTTCTTTTGTTTTTTGTATTCTGTGATGGGTTTATTGCTCACAAATTCTTATCATAGTATTTTTTTCTTTTGAAACTGCTGCAGTAAAGATATGTTTTATCTTCTACTTGAATTATCTTATGCATGGTTTCCTGCCCTCCATTTTCTCTAATCTTTTTTCCTGGACCTGTTGGATGTATTGATCCTTTCTACCCTATTTTCTACTTCTTGTGGGGTTTTTTTCCCCCTCTTCTTTCTCATACATCTATATACACTATATCCTTGACCTTATCTTCCAACTCTTCTCTTGATTTCTTTATTTCTGCTACCATCTTTTGCATCCCTACAGTTTTTTTCTTATTCCTATACTGCTCCTTTTTTATAGTATCCTGTTCTTATTCCATGTGTGCAATGTATTTCATTGTCTCCCTGAGTATATTCATGTGTGGTTGTGTGAGAAGTTTTCTCCTCCCAGTAGTCTTGTTTTCCTCCAATTTGTTTTGTTTTTATTTATTAGCTTTTGGGTTAGTGACTTTCCTAAGATGGCTGGCAATTCTTGTTTGTCAACTCTTATTTAAGAGTCAGAGACCAAAAAAAACTGATTTAGAAGCTCTGAAAACATGTGTAGAACTTGTTGACTGTGAACTGCAATACAGGATGATCAGTTTGGAAGTTTGTTGGGAAGCCCATATTAGCAATAGCTTCGGCTCTTTCCCCTGGGATGTTCAGGCTCTATAGACAAAATTCTTCAGTTTCCTGCCTGAGAGCCTGATGCTAAAAGAAATTGGCTTTTTTTCACTTATCATAATTCTCTTGTGTTCCACCGCTGTTGTTATGTGTATCAATAGGTAATAAAAATAGAATCATGCAGTCTCTAACCTTTTGAGATTGGCTTTTTTTCACTCAGCATAATTCCTTTGAGCTCCACCAAAGTGTTAATCATTCATTCATTTTTATGGCTGAGTAGTATTCTGTACTATGGATGTATTGTAGTTTGTTTAGCCATTCACCCACTGAAGGACATTGGGATTGTTTCCAGCTTTTGGCTAAATGATTAAAGATGCTATGAACCTTAATTCATAGCTTTTTCTGTAAACATAAGTTGCATTTCCCTGGACATGCCCAGGAGTACGATTGAGGTGTTATATGGTGAGTGCGTGTTTCGTTTCAAAAGAAACTGCCAAACAATTTTCCAGAATGCAGTGCCATTTTGCATTCCCACCAGTAATGTATGAGCAATCCAATGTCTCTGTAGTATTTGATATTGGTTCATTTTTTAAAATTTATTTTTTTAAATTAAATGTATTGGGGCAACATTTGTTAATAACATTATATAAGTTTCAGGTGTGCCATTCTATAATATATCATCTGTATATGGTATCGCATGTTCACCACCCAAAGTCTAGTCTCCTTCTGTTACCATATACTGGAGGTGCCAAAAAAATGTATACACATGACTTGTATTCATCTTTTGTTATTGGTATATACTGAGCATTACATTACAATTTTAATACAGTTTTTTCCTTTCTTAAAATGTGTATACATTTTTTTGGCACCCTTTGTATTTGATTCCATTTACCTTCTTCATCCTCCCCCACCCCCTTCCCCCTCTAGTAATGGCAAAAACTTTCTTTAAAGGCCTAATTCGACATGCTCTGCTTCTCATTTCCCATGTTTTGGTTGCTTCTCATTTCAAAGGTCTTCCTAAAAACTGTTGCTAACAAACAAGAAAAAATAATATTGAAATTATTAAAATAAACAAAACAAAAGCCAACCAAAATAGTAATCCTAGCTAACACATGACAAATGATGCCTCAAGTTTACTGCTAAGCACTTCACCTACGTTACCTCATTTCATCCTTTCACCAGCTCCCTGAGGTAGGTCATTTATCTTGAGGGGACTGAGGCCTGGAGGGATTAAGTAACTTTTCCAGGTGAACAGTAGAGCTGGAACGCTTCCTGTTCATACGGCTCTGTAAATGCATGTACTATTTCTTTTCATAAAACTTTAGATCATCTTTTTCATCCTTAATAGAGCCTCTTTTCATATATACACCCTGATATTACCCTTATTTTATAGAAGCAATGGAAAGCATCATTTTCAAAACTATTCTCAATCCACCATTGGATATGAATAACACTCCTATTATTTGTGAATTGCTAATTTTGTACACTCTATGTTTGTGGGTCAGTGGTATCAATTCTATTGTATCATATTTGTCACCTTATATTTGGTAAGACCCAGAAACTTTTAGGCCTCAAAAAATGTTTACAAATATCAATCATGTCATGATTCTTAGACCCTATGGAATTAAGACTTATGTACGGGTAAGGTATTGGCTTTCACAGTTTGAGATGTTTTCTTTTATTTTCCTTTGGCTATATCTTTTTCTGTTGCTGGAGCCAAATTTAATTGTTAGACCACTTTGATACAAAATAGAGCTATGCAGTGCTCGCCAATGCTCAATTCCTCAACTATCACCCACACTTCTTAAGTCTTCTTTTCTAGAAGAAGAAAAGTCATTCTCTCTTTTCTAGAAACCCTTTTACTTCTATATCCCAACATGTTAAAGTTTCTCTCTTCCTTAAAAAAATGAAAAACACTTTCTCAATGCCACATTCCTGTCTAGTCCTTTTTCACCTTTCCTTCTCACATTGGCCAACCTCTTGACAGAGCAGTCTGTATTCTACTTCCCCTTTTTATTGCTCAACCCACTGCTTGCTGGCACCCGTCTACAGCTAAGCCACAAAAGTCAACAAAACCACCATCCTCCCCACCTCCAATCCTTGGCCAAATCCAAATGAGACGTTTTACTCCTTATTTTAATGGACCTTTAGGATGCATTTGACATTGCTGGTTGGCTCTTTCTAGTTTATTTCATGAGCTCCTCTTATTCTAGTCCCTCCCCCATAAAAAATTTCAGCTTTAGTAAGGCATAATTGACAAAAAAAAAATGTAAGCTCTTTAAAGTGTACACCATGGTGATTTGATATATGTATACATTGTGAAAGTATTCCCCTAATCCTCTAGCCCCTTTTTATTAAATTTTGGTGTTCTCCCAGCTCCCAACCCGCTTCCACTGCTCTTTACACACTCTCCTTGGGCTGAGCTTACCCACTGTCACAGTTTCACCCACCGCATTATGTGATGCTCTCATATCTACCCCTAACTTCCCAGAGTTCTGGACTTAAATACCCAAGTGACTCATAGACATCTACACTTTGACCTCCGTACATTCTAAAACTCCATATGTCCAAAGGTAAACTTAAATCTTTCCTACCTCGATTTGTCCTCTTCATAAAGTCTCTACCTGTCGTTAATGATTACCCAGTGATTGACGCCCAAAACCTGAGTATCCCTTTAGGCTCCTTCTCAGTCTGAGAAACCACTTATCTAAGTATTCCTTCCAATCCTTCCTTCCTCTCTGTCCTTACTAAGTACCCATACCAGGCCCCCAGCGTCTTCTTCCTGGACTATTTTAATAGTTTCCTAACTCTCCTGCCTTTGACTTTCATACCTCATATCCATTCTCTGAATACTACCAGTGTTCTGTTGATAACATAAATCTGACCAGGTCACTCCCCAGCTTAAAATTCTTCAGTGGGTCCCCCATTCATTCATTCAGGATTAAAGGTCCAGCTGCTTAAAGTCCTTTGAGACCTGTACTCTTCCAATTATTCCAGTTTCAAATCTGAGGTTGATCCCAAAGGCAAGTCATCCATCAATCAATCCTTCCTCAACTTTCCCCGGAGCTGAGGTAGATGCCCCAACTCTGCATATTCCTGGGCCTGGAAATGTGCATAATAAGCTCTAAAAAAAAAAAAAATTCTGTTGAACTGACAGAACTGAGCTTTTTAATTAGGTTGCCAACATGGCAAACCAGAAATAAAACAGGTCTTAAAATATAAATCTTACGGGTAGGATTCCTTCACATT